TAATTATCATTATTACCACTATTTATATCATTATTATCATCAATATCATCAACATCATAACTATAACTACCATTATTATCATTATAATCACAATTATAAATATTTCAACTAAAAATATCTCTTTAAAATTTTTTATATGATAAATTTGATTCTAAAAATTTATTTTATACTTTTTATAGAAAAATTACATACTAAATATTAATAAATAAGAATATTTAATTTTACAAAATAGGTTATATATAATATTTATTTTTTCTCAATTAGAATTTTTCAAAAAAGAACTTTTTTATAATATTGAAGCTAAAATATTAAAATTATATTATAGGATTCTTCAATCAAAATAAGATTTTTGATTCAAATTATTATATAATATAATAATTCTATTTGATTATAATATTACCCAACTATTGATTAGGTAGACTGAAACACATAATCAATTGAATAGCAGCAAGATTTAGCTTAATCTTTATGATGAATTGGAAAAGACTTTAATTGTCTTTAAACTTTGATTGACATAGTATACTTTCACGATTAAGTTTCTGAATTAGCAAATATAAAGACTTCTAATTTATTACAGGTGATTTGTAATTTTCTAAGATATTAAGAAAATTTACCTTGATAACGTTATAATAGATTTATTATTATAACTAAATTGGTGATACACAGCTTAAAGTACAGTTTTTACCAAAGTAATAGCGGTCAATTTATTTAACTTAACATATGCAATTTATTAATAAAACTAATAAAAATTTTTTTAAATAAAATATGAATATTATAGCTGCAATTTTTATTAAATAATTAGTATTTAGTATGCGTTCCTTCTGCATCAATACATATAATAATTCAATTTGGCATGCTATTAATATAGTTAACTATTACATCATCGTCAAAATCATCACATTCTTCTTAAATTACATTAAAAAAATTTCAATAGATTTTATTTTTGCACTACTATTTTCTTAATCTTTATCTCAATTTTTCTTTTTAAAATAGCCTAAACATTTTCAATTAGATTAAGATCTGGATTATAAGATTGCTATGGAAAAACTTAACCTAGAAAGTGAGTTTTCAAATCCTTTTGAACATTATGGGATTTGTGTTTCAGATCATTATTTTGCTGAAAATTCAGCAATAACCTAATAATTCATTTGCATCATTATAGAGCTGATCATTAAGTATTCGGCAGTATAAATAATAATTAAGATTTTTAGTAAACATGTGCATGCTAATTTGTCTTTTAACATTGATTATAGCCCAAACATATACTTTATAAGAATGCTTAACCATAGGTTAAATTGGTTTTCTATCTCAGAACTATGTAAGTATTATATTACGAAACATTTGAATATTTATTTTATCAGAAAAAATCACCTTTTTCTAATTGTATTACAGATGGTCACGTCTTCAAGACAAATGAATGTCTTTCACTTTTTGGGTTAAAAGAGAAACTTTTCGCAAAAGAACTACTATATAATATAGCCTAGAAAGTTCTTGACAAATTGTTATTTCACTAATTTCTAATTCTAAATTATTTTCTTCTAATATAGCCTTAATTTTCCTGCTGTAATGAAATGATCATGCTTAATGATCATTCTGACATGATAATATTTTGCGAAAGTTAATTTTTATAAGCGATCAGATTGATAAATTTCTAGAATATTGCTATTTTTTCGTAAAATAGCAACATATTGTTCATAAGAATGTAAAGAAACTCTAGTTCTGCTGAAAATTTCCCTTGCATTATAGATATTTTTATCCCAAAAATATTTTACAACTTCAAGATTTGCTTTAATAGATATTGACGGCATTTTGTATAGTGGTAATTTAAGTTAAGTAAAAATAAACAAATAACATTAAGATCAAGGTTTTTTTGTTTATTTTATTTAAATTAGCATTGTATTGCCTAAATCAATCTAATTAATAATAGGTTAAATAGGAACACCAGAAATATGATGACCAAATAATAATTTAACATTCCTACTGCTATTACTTTCAGCAGAAACTGTATTTATAATATTAAATACTTTAACTTATTAGTGATTCTAAACAAAGTTGTTAACACAAAGCAGTTATTTAACACTTAAGTAATTTATTAACATGAATAAATCAAAGATGTTAAATACAGTTGACATAAAATAGGTTGACACAAAATATGGTTGACACAAGTAATTTGTTTTGCTAAAACAATTTAGCAAAGATTTTTATTAACTTATAAATTATCTTTCAAATTTTCTAAGTTTTTCTCTTTTAAATTTCTTTCTAAATTTCTATTGATATATGATGAAAATCTTAGCTTATTTATAATAAAATTTCTACACTAAATTGCTATTTATTACATAAAAATTATGTCATCTTTCTCTATATAATTCTGTTATAATGATTGAATAATGACTACTTAATTGTTATGCAATAATTCTATAACTATAATATACAGTGAACTCTTAATATAACGAATTCTAAGATCTGGATATCAACTTCGTTATAAGCTTATAATGAATTTTTTAAAGAATTTAATTGGCTAGTTTACTATAGTAAGGTAATTTTAATATATTTAATTTAAAAATTCACTATATTAAGGATTCACTATATCAAGATTTGACTGGTTTGACTATATATATATTTGAAGAGATGTATAGAATATAATTATATTGTTCTTAAATTATTACTACATCCTTATACTTAGCCTTTAACTAGTTTCTCCTTGAAGTTTCTTTTTGAAGTTTCTAGTTTAAAAGGTTATGTATGTCATTATAGACTAATGATTTATTACTTTATTTCTTTATTAACTAATCTGATTAATTTTATAGATCACTTATGTGTCATTGATTTTGTAGATCAATCCACATGTTGATTACTTTGTAGATCATTTTATTGTGCTACATTTTTAAAGATCACTTGGATTACAATAAAAACTTTGCAATAGAAAGAAAAAAACTGTCAGGAAAAATCTATTTTATTTTTATATATCAAATATAATTTTAGATTAAAATATATTCAAATTTAGTATTAATATATTTTTATTTTTTAGCAAATTTTTTTTCTATTATAAAGATTCTACATTATCTTATTAATAAATAAAGTAATTATGCAATAAAAATCCTTCAAATTTTATGTAACATTAAGCATAAAATTTAAAATTAGATTTTAGAAATGATCTATATAGTTTTTGGTAATGATCATAAGAAATTTTATTATATAGGTAAGACATTTGTAATAAAAAAGAAAAAAAAACTACTAAAAAAATAAAAAATGAGTTAATACTAAATTTAAACATATTTTAGCCTAAAAATCATAAAAGTAAAATTGATTTTTTCCAGCAGTTTTTCTTTTTCTATTGCAAAGGCCTATATAGTTGTTATTTTTTAAAGAAATTATTTATTGAAAAATTTAATTTTAAATAAAATTTTTATAGAAAATAATTTCAAGTATTACAAAATATTATTAAAAAAATGAATTTAATAGCAAAAATTTCAAGTATTATGAAAATTGTAATAAAATTAGTATAATAATGTCTTTTAGAGTGAATTTAATAACAAAATTTCAAGTATTACAAAATTGTGTAATAAAATTAGTGTAATTATATTTTTTAGTAAATTTAATAGTAAAATTCAAGTATTACAAAAATATTTAGTATAATTTTATTAATTAATTCAATTCAAAATTTAAAATTGGAAGAAATTTTAATTGAATAATAATATTTACTATAATATAACATTTTTTGATCATCCTTATTCTATAAGATGGTTTTAATAGCTTATATAGTAAACAAAGTAAATTAAGTTCTTTTCTAAAGCAACTAATCAAAATATTAATTTGTATATTATTCTTTAATTATTTATTAATATTTAATAATAAGAAAAATAATTAAATTAACATTTATAATTTTTGGAATTTTCTTAACTAAACTGATAAAAATATTACTTTAACTATTGATTTTTTGGGTAAAAAAGTCTTTTAAAAATTGTTTTTTAATTGATGGATTTTTTTATATATTAAAAAAGTTTTATTATTTTTCTGCAAAACTTTTTATGATAAAATTTAACAGAAAATTTTTTTTATAAAATTCAATTTTATTAATAATTTAATTTTAATTTTAATTTTATATAATTCAAATATATAATAAAAATACTTTTATAAATTTTTTTATTATTATTAATAAAAAAAAATTTTTTTTACATTGTTTTACTACTATGTTTTTTCTTTATGCATAATTTTTCTGTCATTTTGCTAATTAAAATAAAAACTATAATAAACTTATAATAAAAAGAAACTAAATTTCTTTTTTTTTTTTTTTAAAAAAAAAAAAAAAAATAGTAATGTTTTTTTAAAATTTATAAATTTTTTTTTTTTTTTTTAATATAAGCTTGTGTATAAATACAAAGAATAATTTGAATTTTTTTTTTTTTTTTTTGAAGTGCCTTTTTTATATGAATTCCTATTTATCATAAACCCACGGGTGAGATTATAATAAATTTATGTTTTACAAATGATAGCTTTTATAATGCATTGAGAGAAATTTTACTTAATGTGTGGTTTTTTTTTACCTGATGAAAGTGATTATGAATTTGCGTGTACTAATGTCACTAGTACGGTAATGTCGTCTACTTTACTGTTAAATGGAAAAGGAAAAAAGGAAATAGGTCAGAATTTGATAGAAAAAGTATCAAAATAATCCTAAATTATCTTTATTTATTGAGAATGAAATCTTTCTATTCATCTCACTCGAAATAAGAAAGTTATAAAAAGCATTTCTGTACATCGGACATTATAAATTGGTTGGCAGAAATCCTGAAGACGCCTCGGAAAGCTACAATGAATCAAAAAAAACTATAAATTTCTCAGCATTATATACAAACCTACGCTAACATATACAAAACATTCATCAACTTCGTAAGTTTCAACTCCTTCCTTGAATAGTTTTTTTTTGTATTCGGAAAGCAACAAAACAAAGAGAAAGGCGTTTTGATTTGCTGGCAAAATGTAGCTTCCCGAGGCAACCGCTAGGGAATACTGATCGCTAATGCACCAGCAAACCTACAAAAAAGTAACCACAAAATGTGCAAGCCAACCACACCAACCAAAACAACCTATTATAACTGAATCTTACCCTCCAATTCTACTTTCTCCATTTTGTTTTGCGCTTTGTGAAAAAGGACTAATTCTCTTTGAATCGATAGAAAATCGTCTCGCTGTATCTGTTAATCTTCTTGAAAGTCTTCTAACATGAGTTCGGAGCTTTTCAAGATCCATTTCACGAACCATACCATCATGACCCATGACATCACGAAGCTCTTTATTTACCATTTCAACAGCCTCATCAGCAAACACATTATCAAAAAAACCATCAGTAGCTAGAAGGATTACGTCACCATCTTGAAGCTGATGGCTAGTTTGTTGAGCATCGCTCGGCTTGTCTTTAAAGTAGAGCTTTTGGTTAGGGTAAGATTCAGGCACGATAGTTAATTGAAATGGACAATTGAAGAAATGTTGTTGTGATGGAGATTCATATAGTAGTGAACCATTACGGATGAGAATATATGCTGAGTCGCCCAAAGTAGCTGCATTAAGGATTCCTGAAGATTTGGATAGCGAAAGAATGCAAGCCGTTGAACTTCCTAAATAAATAAATAAAAAGATTCAATATAAAATGTTTATTAAATAAGTATAAATAAAAATAAATAGAATTAATTAATTAAATACCTGCTTTAACTTTTCCACTTTTTATCAAATTGTCAAACGCTCCACTTAGTATCTGCTTAGCGTCTAATATGTCATTATAACCAGATGGGGCAATAAATGGCGACAGATCTGGTGCATTGTCTTTTGCTACACTTGCAGCATTATCCATTAATGCCCAAGAGAAATTAGCTGGATCTACACCCATCTTATATAATTTATTTTGTTTAAATAAAATTAATAATAATAATTAATCAAGGATAAAAGAATAACCAAAAACAATTAAGAGTGAATATTATTAAAAAAAATACATATTTATATATATATATATTTCTTATTATACCTGAGACCATCCACCAACACCGTCAGCTACTCCTAAGGCTACACCGTTATTTGTCCCAACATAGAAAAAAGCATCCTCTCCTGCATCTACTTTACCAATTCTCATACGCTCTTTCCACCATGCGTGACCACTGCCAGATATAGAATTTACAGCAGTTCGTTTTCTTTTTGGATGCCAAGACGCTGCTATCAAATAAGTGAATCCTTTTGTAGTAGTTAAAGGTAAACCGGTTACTCGTAAAGGATTACCATAAACAGCTTTGATATAAATTTGTTGGTTAATAGCAAGACGAAGGGATTGAGATGCGCTGGAAAGGAGCCGGTTGGAAAGTGCGGGAAAAACCCCAGGACGATAAAAAGGTGATATAGAAGACGACATTGGGAGAATAAAAAGTGCGTACAGTAAAAATTATTTGGAAAAAATATTTTTAAAAAAAAGTTTTTTTTTTTGATGCAGATTTGCAAGAGGGAGTTCTATCTGTGAGGGGCTCGAAGCAAAAAAAAAAAAAATAAATAAATATGAAAATTGATATTAGATAATCTTATCTTTTTTTTTTTTTTTAATTTTTATAGTTTTTTAGATCGAGAAAAACAAAAAGGGAATATATATATATTCTTTGAGGCGTTTTAGCCTCAGGCATTTAATGTTCTTTTGTTTTGACTGGAGATGAAAAGATGTAATTAATAATAACGAGATAGATATTGGTTTGCAGCTCACATGTAATTTGATGACACGGGCGTAAATATAAACGGTCTATATACAGACCCAAATAATCATGATTTACATCTTTATTGCAAATAAAGTTGTAGGTTATTTTAAGACCTGATTGTAATACTTTACTGTATATTGGATAACCTTAAACTACCAGAAATTTATCATTATATATATATTTCATACCATTCTCTATCCCGTGCTAATAAACTAATTACACTCCAGACAATAAAAGATTAATCTACCTTGTGATGTCGACTACAAACAACAGACAGACTCCTGGCAAATTGTTCCAATTCAAGCTTGTTTTATTAGGTATGACAATTTTAACTGCGATCGTACTTGTTTCAAAGTTTAAGAACTGACTACTTTACAAAGCTTTTCTGTATTCGTTTGTTTTGACACTTTTTTTTTCCAATGCATCATGTTCCACGTTTCTGTAGGCGAGTCGGCGGTCGGCAAATCAAGGTTGGTTTTGCTATATGTTATAGGTATATTTACAAGGAGTGTATTTAGTTGAAGGAACTTCAACACGACGGAAGTTATATCATTTTCCTTTTATAACCAGTTTAACCTATTACAAATAGAAACAATGCTGGATAGTTACTTGTTTATATTCATTTATGTTGGAGATTTGAACGATATGTGCATCTCAAATATAAACGAATAATATACAAGTTTATCAAAAATCTCTTTTTTTCTAAATTTAGCTTGGTATTGCGTTTTGTTAAAGACCAATTCGATGACTACAGGGAAAGTACCATTGGAGGTAAGTTTTAATTCCTGGTGACTCCTCTTTTTTTTTCTTATTTTTTTAAAATATAGATATTGATTTTGATTTTTGCTTGTACCAAAAGCTGCGTTTCTTACGCAGACAATTAATCTAGATGAAACCACAACAGTAAAATTTGAAATTTGGTAATCTAATATATATTAATATCTTATGTTTCATGAGATTTCTACAATATTAACATATATATGTATTGAACTACCTATTTAGGGATACGGCAGGTCAGGAACGTTATAAGGTGATATTTTTGAAGAAATACGATTTTGTTTCTGCGTATAAATTTATTAAGTATAGACGATTCAACTAGAAATATTTTTATAATACGTGTTATAGAGTTTGGCACCAATGTATTACAGAAATGCAAATTGTGCAGTAGTTGTATATGATATAACTCAAGCTGTAAGTAGTGCTTATGATATCTTATATTCAGACTGATCAATCAATTATTAATCCATATTATATGTTATTATTGTTCAGTCATCTCTGGATAAAGCTAAATCGTGGGTAAAAGAATTGCAAAGACAAGCTGATCCGAATATCGTAATTGCACTTGCTGGAAATAAAAGCGATCTGAGTGCTCGTCGGGCAATCGATTCTGAGGTATTCTAAATAACTATTTTAATGATATATATATTTATTTTTACTTTGTTAATATAACTTTTTACTTTTAAAAGGAGGCTCAGACCTATGCTTCAGAAGCTGGTCTTTTATTTTTTGAGACATCCGCAAAGACAGCCTTTAATGTCAATGAATTATTTACATCAATAGGTATTACTGATCAAAATTCTTTAGAAATTATAAAATTTGTCTTAATTTTTTATTTTCATTTTCTTTTATAGCGAGGCAAATGCCACTTGAGCAATTAGCTGCTAATTCACGTGGACGATCAAGCGGCTCGAAGCAAAAAGGAGTTGATTTGACAAACCCAACACCAGCTAGTAATTGCTCATGTTAAATGAACACTTTGGAATTTTGCATCAAGCAACGGTTATATTTGTGGTAGAATTTTGGGTTTTGATCATTCTTTTTTTCTTTGTTGGCTTTCTCCTATAATTTCAACTAACGACTTATAAGTTCATTTAAGTTGTCAATTTTATTGACAATTTATTCCTTTCTCTTGTTTGTTATATTTCCTTTATTTTATTTTATTTTTATTTTATTTTTTTTACTTTTATTATTGGATATAATTACTTGTGAGTTTTATAACTTTGTCCCCCAAAATATTATATATATATTCCTTGATATATTATTATTCAATCAAAAAACATTTGGTCGGTATAATAACTGAGACAATTTTTTTCGATAATTATAAATATTTTTTTACTCTGCAGAAGTCTCATTATTACTACTACAGTGAATATAAATCCACAAAGTATATTTTCATATTCGTCATTTGTTAATTAGTATCCATATTTATCATTCAAAGCTGTCCTGCCATCACCTTGAGAAAATTGTAGAAAAGTAAAATGAGGAAATATAATAATAATAATCCCTATTAAATGATGTTAAAATATAATCATTTTTATTATTTTAATATTTACCTGTTTGTCCTTTAGGTGGTTCCCATACAGTAGCTTCTTCTATTTCAATTTCATTTAATTCTTTGGCATTTTCTTGATTTTCTTCATATTCTTGAGGTGTCATTGGTATCGTAGTTTTCATTATTTCTTCTTCATTATTAATTTCTTCTTTATCAGAAGAAATTAGTCTTTTTTGTGAAACATAAGTTGAAGACTCTTTGGTTGGTTGTACATTAAGAAATTTATCACGTTGTTCAAAATTAATTGTTGATATTGGAACTTTAAACTTATTTGATGATGGGATAAGTGTATCCTGTTGTTTTTTCTCCTTTTTATTTTTAAAAAAAAAGGTTACATTCTGTTAAAAAAATAACTTTTAAGTTAGACGCACGTACCACATTTATTTTAATGTTCGGTTCGGTAATTAATGATGTATTTGTTGCAATTGCAGATACAGCTGCATTGCTTTTTTTTTTAGAATTACCATTTAGAATTAGAGTTATTTATATCATTAAAGAAAGTTTGAAGTAAATGTTTTATTATTATTATTTTATTGAGATAAAAAGAACGTACTTGTTTGCAACATCTGATTTTGAAGAGGATAATATTATTGAATTACTTTGCATAATATCAAGAGGTTTCGTGATTTCAATTAGTTTAGCAAGCCTCTGATCTTGCTAAAAAGTCGAAAAAATGAAGAAAACTTAGTAATTACATAATGATCATTCATTAATCATTGACTTATTATACATTACCTTTAATAATTCCTGTAGTATAGCTTCCAAGTTTGCTGCTGATTCACCCTTAAGATCATTATTTATTGAATCCATATAAGTATCTAAATCATCTTCAGCCGCAACCGCGGGAGATAATTTTTCTAAATTTGAGAAAATATTATATATTATTATTTTTTTTTTTAACTAAAATAAAATTTCATTAATAACAATACCAAATTCTTTAGCAAAAGATATTTTATTTCGAGTTTCTTCGATTTTAATTGCAAGTTCTTCTCGTTGTTTTGTTAATGATTCATAAGTTTCCACTTTTTGAGGTTGCTGTATTTTACGTAGTTTTGCTCGCTCAGCTTCGATATAAATTAATATAATTATTTAGTTACTTATTGCATTGATAAAAAAATTAATCAACTCAATTACCTTGTCCAGTTCGATCATAGAAACTATCGTTATCATCGTCTTCATCGTTATCACCTAACAAATCACGTATTCTTTTCTTTCTTGCGGCTATTTAAAAAAGAGTCAATCATCAATCATATTAAAAGGAAGTATAAATTAGACTTAAATAATACATACAGGCTTCGTCTTGACTTGCGCGCAGAAGGCCAAGCATGTCCAGTTTCTCACAAGCATCTATAGAAGCTTGTTTTTCTGCATCCCTATTTTTTTTTTTAATTAATATCTTTTTCTTCCGGAAGGAATAACTTATAATTATTATTATACCACTGACTTTCTTTTAGAACCACTGCCTGTACCATAAACAGGCCCATATGCATCTTCAACGTCTGGTAACCGAATCCTTTAAGAAATTTTAATGAATTAAAATAAGAATGACAAAACGTGAAAAAGATTATAATTTCATCAGATACAAACCGAGCAGTAAAAGTACGTGAGTGACCTGGTCCTTCTTGCTCATTTTCAAAATCCAAATCATAACCACGATTCTATGTAAATTAATCATATGATATAAGCAATTTAGACGTATTGATTCCTAGTTATATTGCAAGTACCTCAAGCCAATTCCTTAAAGCTTTTTTTGGATCTTTGTAATAATAAGCATCTTCATCACGCTTCCATGATTCTTTAGCAGCCGAAACATTCATTTCACCTTCATCCTCTGCATCCTCTGCAAAACCCCTAAACAGAATCAAAAAAAAAAAACTAAACCCAAGTACTGATTTTTATATTGAATGCCTAATAACGAATTTTTTTTTGTACCAATTAACGCCAGACTCTTCTATAGATTTTGATAATGGTTTAGAAATTCGTTTTGGTTCTGGGAGTTCTGGTTGTGGTTCTTCGGGTCCCAATAAAATATATGTTCGGGTGCTTTCTCCAAATTTTAACTGGTCACCGACGCGAAGTTTTATATAACTTTGTGATAATATTCTTTGTTTGTTGATTATAGTTCCATGAGCACTATCCAAATCATACAAAAAAATCTCGCCTTTATTTTTTTTTAATATATGTTCATCAATTAGCAAAGAAAAAAAAAAATTGTATAATAGAACTTTTTTTCTTTTTTTGATTTTAGAAAATGATCACCTTTATCGTTAAACTGAATGATTGCATGATATCTAGAAATAGACTATAAACATTTTCAAAATTCAAATTACAATATGAATCAATTCAACTTTAAACAAACGAAATAAAATGAATAGTAGGTACCGGATGCTCCATTTGTATATCACAAACTGGCAAACGTCCTGTTTGTTTTATGTTCGAAATGTTAAGATAATTTTTCAATTGATTCTTTACATGTTTGAAGATAATTTATTACCGAGTACAAGAAATTCTTTCAACGGAAATTCCATAATTTCTAAGCTAATTCCACTTTTGATTACTTCAAAGGACCAATTGTCCTTCGGTAAATCGCTCCATTCGGGTTTTTCATATGGAATTGGTGGTGGTGGTGGTGGTGGTGGTGGCTGTTGCTGTTGTTGTTGTTGTTGTCGTGCCTTTACTAATTAATTGAAATCGAAACCACTTAGAGTTGAACAAAGAAAGTTGTTAGAAAGAATCAATTATTTATAATTACAATTTACTGGTAATGGTACTTTGAACACTGGAAAAGGCTTAGGGTCATTAGATTTATTTGGGGATTCAGCTTGTTTGTTCTCAGAACTAGTAAAATTATTTTGATTCGCCTCTTCCTTTTTGATAGAATTCTCCATTTACAAAAGCAAAAAGGTAAAATTTAAAGATGTGCCGCAGAACCACCACTTTAGGAATATATAATTTGATTGGCTAACCACTTGATTCGTGCGACAAGCATTGTGGCACAGAATAATAATAAGCGGGACCCAAAACTAAAACAGAAGGAATTGGTTTCAATCCCTCGTAATAATATTCAGTCTTCCGACGATTCATGAGTCTTTGAATGTCGACCGTTTGGTCTTTGGTTAAATTCTCGAAAATTTATAGATATTTATTAATATATAATATGTTTATCTATCTATAACAGATAAGGTAATAAAACATCTTGTGAAAAACCATATAAATATTTGAAATATCACAGGACATAAATTCGACAAATAGCATTTAAGTGTCAGAGTACGCGAAAAACAAAAAAAAAGGTTTTTGTGATACAAAAATATATGTGATAAAAAGACGCGTTTATTTGACATTATTTTTCTTATAATGATCAACTGACGTCAGCAACCTTTTTTAAGGTATAAATTGATTTAAATTGTTAAAAACTATTGTTTTTGTTGTCTTCAACTCATTGATTTTTATCCTTTATTGAAGGTTTTTTTTATTGTTTTTTTTTCCTTCAAAATTATCCAAAAATTTTAGACTAATTACTAATTCACTTTAATACTTTTTTAATTAGCTCTTAAAATTTATTGTTTCAGTGAAGCGAATATTTTTTATTTTGAATAATTAAAACGTTTCCGTTGGCTTACTTTGAATAAACTTAAATAAAATTTTAAAGAGTTGGAACTGCATACTAACTATTCGTAAATCCTTCTAACCATTTTATATTGACTTTAAATTTTATCATGCCTGAGCAGTCAGGTACGGGAGGGGGGACAAGAATAATTCGAACACCTACAATATGGGAACGAGTTAAAAATTGGCCAATGGATCGTATTATTCAACTTGAAGAGGAAATTAATATGAAAGATTGGGATGAATGGAGTCAAGCTTCTAGGTATATTTTTCACTTGATTATTTATTTTAGTATATTTACGCGATTGAAATAGATTATTAATACCACATCGTAATTGGTTGATGACTTTATCAGCTGGTTTGTAGCCATCGGACTGAACTGCATATCTATTGTATTACGAATTGGTCGTTGGTTTGATGGACAAGAATATGATCCTATAGTTCATCCGGTTTATAGTTCTTTAGCAATTTGGGTATGTAATATTTACTAAACTAAATTGGTTTATATGAATATTATCGATTAATAATTCGATTAAATTTATAGCTTTTTAGTGCCGAATGGTTTTTGTTCTCGTTGAGCATGGCCAATGCTATTTATATTTATTGGTCTACAAAAAATTATCATCTTTTCGAACATCATCTCAATGTAAATTTTATTTCATTATTTTTCATTTACGATGCTTGAAAATGAAGAAATTTGTTTTGAATATTTAGAATGAGCATGGATAGAAAGATATATTATTAATAAATTCTTAAAATGTTAAGCTAATTTTTTTCTTGCATATAGGATCGACCAAAAAGTAATAATATTCAAATGCAAGAAGTGGGTGAACCTGTTCCAGTATGGGCTGAAAGATTTCCCGGTAATTTTTTGTAAGTTATTAAAATTTTGTGATTAAATAAATGGACTTTTTATTTTATTCTTAAAAAAAAAAATGCTAAATTTTAGATATCCCTTGTTACAAGCTATCTTTGAACATCCTGGATTTGAACCTAACAGTCAATGTGTTTGGGTGATAACGATGTGGAATCCTTCTAGTTTTTGTTTAGATCTTTTTTGGTAATGATGAGCTAACTTATTGCTTGTTTATTAATCGAATAATTCTATTAAACTATCCTTTCTTTGTTTAGTTATTATTCACCAGCTCAAGTTTTGATTCTTCATTATTTGAATGGAGAAAACTATTTTTATCTTTTGTCAGCGGCAATTATCATTGGAGTTCAGGTAAAAAATAATAATGGATCTAAGTCACTTTTTGTTAATTTACTCGTTATATCTAATTCTTTTTTTGACGCAGTTAAAGATCCTCGTTAAATTATTTCAATCTCTTATCAAAGATAAACAAATAATATTCAACGAGGTATATAACGAATATACGGAGAAATTTGTCAACCCGAATTGTTTCGTTCACAAATATGAAGTTGGGATACAAACAGATGTAGACATGACATGGGATAATATTAACCTTAATGCTAATAATAATAATACTAATGCTAAGCAGAAACAAAAGGGTAAAAAAGAGTAAAAAAAGATATATAATATTTAAAATATTTCTTACAACGATAAGAATGAATCAAAAGTTATTGTTAAGACGCTTGGTGATTTGGGAAAATTCTGTGTAAATACCTTCTATACATAAGTAATCAAATGACTGATAAATTACACAAATCTGCAGGATTATTAATTCTAAGGAAACAAAGAATAATTTATTAAATCAGAATTTATTTTTCAGAAATTTAATTAGGTAACGATACTATGCGTCATCTACGTATTGTCACTATTATAAGACGTTGGCATCCCTAATTGATACATATGATTTCTAATATTAGTTAATAAGTTTTGTATCAATTGTTGATTAATACAAATAGTTAAATAGTTAAATTTTCAAATTTTCGGATTTCATCAATGATTATTATAATAAATAATTTTTAATATGTAATAAATAATTTTTGTAATTTAAATAAATTCGAATTTTTCACAGTTAATAATATATAATATGTATATGTATAATCAAACAAATTGTTAAACTCTAATAATAAATTTTTTGAAATTTGAATACCAAAAATCGTATTATAAAAAGTATAAAAGAACAATATGAAAAAGTTATAATAACAAAGCTTATAACAAAAATTTTCTCTTTTTTTTTTTGGATTCATTTCAACGATATTAACTAACAAAAATTTGAATGCTGCTGATCAAAATACATCTAGAAATAAAAATTGTTAAAAAAAAAAAATAATAATATATTAATATAAGATGTAAAGATGTGAAACGTGAATTATAATTTAGACTAAATTATTAAAAAATTCTTTTCTTTTTTTTGTTAAAAACTTTGATACTAAATTTGGTGTTACAAAGAAAAAAAAATTAAAAGTCTGTACATACTAAAACATTTAAAAGATTAACTAAAAAGGCATAAAAAACAAGACTATAATTAAAAAATATAGGAGTTAATACAATTATGCTTTAAAAATTAAGTTATATAAAGGTATGTGCTATCTTTTGTGAGGAATTTTTCTTTTTAATTGGTAAAAGAAAGCCTCATTAAGCAAAGGCAAATTAATCAATCAATATTCGTTCTAATGATGTTATATATGTTATATGTAAATAATTGCCTTAAGCCCAAACCTATTTATTTAATGAAATATTAAATATTAATAACATTAATAATATAAGAAAAAAAAATGTTATATTGTGATTTACCTTTAATAACGAATCCCAACTACCCGTACACAAAGCCATTCCATCACTTGATACACCTAAACAACTAACACGATTTTCGTGTGCTGCCAAAACTCCTACACGTTCACCCTTCAATGTGTCCCAAACATTACAATTGAAATCATCGTAACCTGCAAAAAGAAGACGACCAGAAATCGAAAAGGCAACAGAGGTGATACCACAAAGAATATTATCATGTGTATATTGATTTAATTCTCTGTCAGCACGTAAATCAAACAATCGACAAGAAGCATCATCAGAGCCAGTTCCAAACGCATCGCCATTAGGGAAGAATCTAAGAAATGAAATAAAAAAAATATTTTCTTAAAAAAAGAAAAGAATAATTAAATTTATTTAAAATTTCAATTACTTACTGCACAGCATTAATATCTGACTCATGACCAGTAAATGTTTGCACACATCGACCAGTTCGGATATCCCAAACTTTAGCTGCAGCATCGCAGGCTCCAGATACAAAGATTTGCTGATTAGGTGCAAGAGATAAACTAAAATAAATTCAATATTTAACATTAATTCATTATAAGATTATAAAATAGACTTGCGAGTTTAGAAATACCTCATTACATCACCAGAATGGTCATTAAATTCTGTGATTTTCATTCCAGCATCGATATCCCAAAGAATACAAGTCATATCCCCTGACGATGTTAAAATTTGCCTGTCGTTAAGAAATCGACAGCAAGATAGGTAGCCAGTATGAGCGCTTAATTCTCGAGCAACTTTAACGGAACCTTCTTTTGTCTTTAGGTTATAGATAGAACAAATATTGTCCAAACCACCACAAGCAACAAAAGCGCCAGATGGTGCATAGGCACATGTCATAACCCATGAGGATCTAAGAGGGATTGCGTGAACTTTATTGGTTGTGGGTGCATCCCAGACGATAAGTTTACCGTCTTGTGAAGCGGATACTAAATGACGTTTATCCGAAGCCCAATGCATTGCATAGATTTTCGCAAGATGCCCTTTGAGAGTACGACGAACTTTCATTACAATTCTTGGTAAAGGTTCAATTTCAGCGGCCATTGTTCTCACTGTAAAAAATAATAATTCATTGAGATAAATTTTTTCTTTTTGATAGATAATTTTAATTTAAAACTAAAGCTAAAATTCGCAATTTAATTTGTTTTCAAAAATTATCAATTACTTCTAAATTATTATTCAAATTCGTTAAATCTAAATAAATAAAACTTATGTTTATTCACATTTTCACTTCTTACAAACTTTTTTCGATCTTCGTATATATATAAAGTACTCAAATAAACTAATTATATTTGAATAAGACTTAAAATAGCTCAACTATAAATTACAAACTTTAATCAATCTATAAGTACATACGGGATGTGTCAGCCAATGTATCTTTTCTCATCTTAATTTTTTCTTTTAAAGTTTCCGCTTCTTTACGAGCTGCGGCTATCCTCTCAGCGAATTCAGACATGTTGTATTAATAAAGAAAAGGTTAAAAAGGGTAAATATAGTCGTTGATGTTTCAAGATAAAGTCAAAGGGAAAGAAAATGTTCAAATTTTTTCTTTAATATTTTAATAGTTCCTAAAAAATTCTCTGTGAAAAAAGGTCAAACAATATCGGAATTTAATATCTTTTTAATATAATTTATTGAAATTCAGGTGAGACACTATCATTTTATTTTATTGGTTCATGAAGATTATTTATATTATCCCAAATTTGTAAATTTCGTTTTTATATATATTTAATAACAAAAAGTTCGGTAATTCAATTTTGGCAAAATTTTTTTTTTTTTTTAATTCTTCCGAAATTAAATAACTTTATATATTTGGAATTCGGTCATACAATGAAATAAAAGTAAACTTTAATATTGTATTTTTACAATTTTACAATGTGTTTTAAGTTTAAAAATTGTGCAATATTCTGTATAATTTATGCAAATAAAATAAAAACGGTCAAACATGTTCATTTCTGCTTGGATTAAAATTTTATGCTTTTATAGGTTATTAATGATATTTTAAAAAAGGACTTTTAGCAGTAACATTGAATTATTAAAACTCATGCCTGGAATCTCTGACACATAATACATATTTTAAAATTGATTTTTTTATTTAAATATTACGTTTTTAGAAAGGTCTTTTTAGACCAATTTTATGAATTCTTTTTCAAAAAAGATTAGTACCATAAAACCTTTTACAACCACGCGTAATATACATAGATCATCTATCATCGCATCGTTTAAATATTTTGCTATTAAAATCGTTGATATGTTCTAATTTTTAAATAATGAATTATATATATTTTTAAACTAATATAATAAAAATTATTTTATTTATTTTTCAGTTTTAATAACAAATTACCAATCCATTTTTCTTAAAAATTTTTATCTGCACTAAGAATTTTTATAAAACAATGAAAAACAATCTTTGTCTTTATTAGCATTTAAAACCTATAAAAATTATCTGTATTTTATAGTATTTTATATCATAAAAAAACAAAAGTAATTGTATTCATTAGGGATTTCAATAATCAAAGTTTCTAGAATACTTAATAAAAATGAAAATAGCAATTATATAATGTGATATAATAATTAAAAACATAAAATAATATAAATACAAACAAACAAATATTGATTATAAAAAAATAAAATAAAAATTTTATTTTATCTATTAAAATATGTTGATTAAATATGAAATTTCTGCATTTTGATATTATTTATATTAAATTGGTTTTATTTATATAATATATTATAAAATAGATTCAAATTAAAGGTGAAACTTTAATTAATTTTAAAATTTTTAACCAATTATAACTTTTATGAATTTTTATATTAAAATAAATTCTACAAGAAGTTGTAATATTCTGAATTACAACTTCTTAATTACAATGTTATCTTTAGAAATAATAATAAAAAATATAAAAATATAAAAAAATATATATATTATGTAATTATACAGTGTGTAACGAAAAAAACGGCGGTCAATAAAATAATTTTTTTTTGCAAATAAATTATAAAATTATATAATGTCGATCATAAACAAAACATTAATTTAATATTTCCAAATTTAGAAAAACGTGATTTTATAAGTAAATTTTTGTTTACCTTTGTTTTTTTTTGTGTTTTTTCTTTGCAAAGATGGTTAGTGCAAGGTTAGAAGCTCAAAAGCAAACAATTCGACATTACTGGCTTAATGCCATTAAGTTAGCAAAGGAAATACAAAAAAAAACTAGTATTCCCCTTTATTCTATTGAGCGTAATCTTAAAAAGCTTAGAGAAACAGGTGATGTTAATCATCAGTGTAATAATGGTCGGAAATCGAAGGTTACATAAGCTATTTTTCGGGCTATTGGGTAACATATACACAAAAATACTGCAGTTTCAACCCGCTAACTTGCTACAAAAATAGAAGATACCTATGATATTTCTATTTCACACATGTCTATTTGGAGAAATATGAAAAAAAAGGTATGAAAGTTCTGTTCCATTAGCAACTCCAATGCTTACAAATCGGCATATTGAAATGAGAATAATATGGACACAAGCACATTTAAATGATAATTAGAATCAAACCATATTCACTGATGAAACAGCATTTGATCTTTTTCGAAATAAAGTCAGTAGATGGCATAAAAATAGTGAAAGACCTATCTGAAGGTTGCCAAAATCTCGCCAAAAAGTGATGGCATAGGAGGGATTTCAAAAAAGGGAAAAAACCCTTTTTTTGTTTTACTAATATTATGGATGGACCATTTTATGTGAGTATATTGCAAGACCAGCTTCTACCTGCTGCAAGAAACATGTATAGAAGAAACTGACGCCTGCAATAAGACAATGATCTGAAGCACACATCACGTGTTGCAAAGAATTTCATTACTGAGAATTCGATCCGCGTAATTGATTGATCATCCAATAGCCCGGACCTTAACCCTATTGAAAATATGTGGACAATCATCAAAGATAATGTAGAAAAAAGGATGCCTCAAAATATTAGTG